TATGGAATCAGTAGCGTAGGCAGCTGGTAGCTGACAAACCAATTATGGAAGAAGTAAGACTGGGTTATTCCGTATGGGAAGGTGGTAATCACCACTTTTCAAACCTGATTTGAGGAGAAGTTATGCATTCTGTACACAGCCCTTTCCCCCCACAATGCAACACAATTAATCGTTTTCCCTTGACCAGTGGTGCTTGCAGACAGGTATTTTTCTCATCGTCCCAGTACTTTGGCACTGTATGAGAGCTGTGAAAGTAAGTCCCACCACTGTATACAATATTCCTATCTGCGAAAAGGTCTCCTGTAGAGCAAGCTTACTTTTACAAACTTTAAGGAAATCATTTTGAAAACAAAAATCTTCATTTGTTAAGTATGCGGTCTTTCATTGAAATCATTTTCAATACATTTTTGTTAAAGCATAACTATACATACAGTATACACTTTGCTATTGTTCAGGTACCTTAATGCTTAAATTTAAAATTTCTTTAGTTACATGTCCAATAAAAAAATTCAAATCCAGATAAAGTCATCTAGGAGCAACACTTGACTGACATGACTAAACGCATATACGTTACATCTCAGATTATGAAAGCTTTATGCATGAAAAAGAACAATACCAACTTCACTGCTAACGCTGCGCTGTTTCATACAATAAGTCATCTACAATCTCCGAAGCTTTTACACTCACATATTGGATATAAAAAGCAATCTTCTTAACCCTGACCTAACATAAAGGAAATCCAACATACAAAATCGTAATGTATACGTGCACGCCAATGACTACCGATAGTTCTCCCTTGGATGTTCAAAGCCGAGTGCCTGTGCGAGACAGTCTGCCTCGAAATAATCGATATTTGTGATTAGGGTAATATTCTTCCCGCCGTTCTAATATCTGACTTCTGCGCATCCACATAATGTAACGGTCACGGCCCACGACGTTTCAAAATACCTCTAATGAAACGAGAAATGACGAGTTAAATGACGTAGGAGTAACGAGAATATGTCCTAGTCGTAGTTTTTATGTTTATGTTGTCTAAATTTTACAGGCCTCTCCAACTCGAGCATTTGGTGCTGGTGCGCACCGGTGATGGACCCAGCGGCACCGGTGCCGTTCCCCCTCCACCTCGACTGCACAGCCGTCGCGAAAGAGATAAACATATTAGCCGACTGTCTATCGGGCGCGGGCCATATCTTAATAGGACAAGACAAAGTGGACAGGTTTTTTAGCGTGTTAACGTGCATCTTTTTTTAAACGATGTCATTCAATCCTGCATGGAAAAAGCCTATTGTTTGTTAATACTGATGGAAAAGCAAAATGTTTAATTTGTCACACGGTATTGAGGCCAGCCCTTCTAAGTTCTGATGAGGTAATTATTAATTTGGTCGTAGTTGATTATTATTAATGGTGTCGTAATGTAAGTTATATTGTTGCTTAGAAAATCGCAAAAAGTGGGAGACCGTTTACTGACGGTGCACTTGTCAAAGAATGCTTAGTGGAGTGTGCAGAACTATTGTGCTCATCTTTTGTAAGGAGCTTTGAGACAATTAGTATGTCCGAGCAAACAATTTCTCGTCGGATACTTGAACTTGGTGCAGATTTAAAAGAACAACTGCGGGGAAATGTGCCCATTTTGTGCAGTATTCTATAGCTCTCGATGAAATTAAAGACATTTCTGACACAGCATAATTAGCTGTTTTCGTTAGAGGTGTCGAAATAGTCTTTACAATCACCGAAGAACTACTAGACGTTATCCCGCTGAAAGATACAATGGCCGGAGAAGATATTTTTGATGCTGTAGTGTTTTTACTGATGGAGCGGCAGCAATGTTATCGGAAGCACAAGGTTTTCTTGGCGAATGAAAATAAAAGTACGCAACGCTGGGCTACGTCCGATATTATCGGTACACTCCATATTACATTAGGAACAATTATGTGCAAAAACCTTCCGTAATTTCAAATTTTTTGTAGTAATATAATAACATGTGTCAATTTCTTCATAAAGCAAGGTCTCAACCACGCGAGTTTGAACTATTTTTAAAAGACCTGGAAGCAACTTACGGTGACATACCCTTTTATTGTGTTACGCGCTGGTTAAGCTGCGCAAAAGTGCTAAAGATTTTTTTTCTGAAATCATTGACGACGTTGAGATGTTTATGCAAATGAAATTTTTACGACGCCATCTTCAGTGCTTTTCGAAACAAAATCGCCGCAGTTCCAAATGGAGCTGATTAAGCTTCAATGCGATACGATCCTTAAGGATAGATACTACCACTACAATAGTAATTTAATTCCGTTTTATCAAGGTGTTAAGCAGCAAGATTTTCCCAAAATTCTTGCACTAGCCTTGGAAACTTGCTCCATGTTCGGTACAACGTACTTCTGCGAGCAGATGTTTTCTTTAATGAATTTGAACAAAATTAAAAGCAGGTCTTTGTCTGATGTGTCCTTAGAGGCGATACTCAGAATTTCCACTGCTCAAGCCACTGGTACCAAATCTTAGAAAACTTGTTGAATCGAATCGCTGTCAAAGATCATCTTAAGAATAAATGTGTTTACGTCGACATTATGAACATTATTTTATCACCCGCGCGTTGACTCGATCAGACCAATTCAAATGTCAATACGAATGTCACTCCACTCATTTTCTGTTGGGGCTGGGAGCCGCCGAAATTAAACCTTATCGCGGATTCGACTAAACTTAGTAATAATATGTAGTTTTTAAGTAAATGAACAAACAGGGCTTGGTATGCTGATGAAAGTACAGTTCTATTCATAAAAAAAGCGTACACGAATTAGAATGAGAGGAAACCTTAACCTTATTTGCGTAAAACCGGCTTGTCTAAATGATTGTTTATTGGAGGTTATCACACGTCGTAGATTGTCAAAAATGCAAAGCACTGACGTCGGTGTAATTCATTTCAAAAATGCGTGGTGGTAACGTTTGATAAACTTTGACAGAAGAAAATAAAAATGCCTCGTCAGTTGTCTGAAGTTGAAAAGGCTCAAATTGTATCAAGAATCGAAGAAGGATGGTCAATCCGTGCTGTAGCGCAGTTGTATAATAGAAATAAAAAAACCATATTGAAAATTAAGCAACGCTGGGAACAGGAAGATTCCCTAAAGAGGAAAATTGGTTCAGGTCGTCCCAAACTTACCAACCCTGAACAGGATGCTGCTTTTTTGGGATATTTAAGAAATAATCCATTTGCAACTGTAAGGGATGCTGTTATTGATACAGCATTTCCTGCCTCCCAACCTACCGCCAGCAGGAGAGTAATGAAATCTGAACTAAAATGTCACCCTGCTGCGAAAAAAATGTTTCTTAACGAAGAACGGCGACAATCAAGGATTATTTTTGCTTTAAATTATATATACCGCAATCCTCAATTTTGGAACAGGGTCATTTTTACTGATGAAAAGACGTTCCAGTCGACTTATAACGGGCAAATTCGTGTTTACCGTCCAAACAATACCAGGTTTGAAGAGCGATATAGTAACCCCCTCAATTCTAGACCTGGGCGTTTCTCTGTAAATGTATGGGGCTGGATAAGTGTTCATGGACCTGGTATTTGCTGGCGAATAGAGGGAAGATTTAATGCCGGAAATTACATTAACATTTTAGAAAACATATTGTTACCAAGTGCTGAGCAAATATATCCCAATAATACGTTCATATTTCAACAAGATAATTGTCCAGTTCATACGGCCAATGCTGTAACCCACTGGTTTCAAACCCATAATGTGGAAGTGCTGCCTTGGGTCGCTTATAGTCCCGATATCAATCCAATCGAAAATATTTGGGGTATAATCGTAAAAAAATATATAATCGAAATTTTAGGCCACAAAATTCAGAAGATTTATGGGAAATAATACATGCGTGCTGGGAAGAGCTTGATCCAAATATTGTATCAAATATAATTCAGTCAATTCCGAATAGACTGGCTCAAGTAATAGAAAAACAGGGATATATGACCAAATATTAGATTTTATTTATTCTTGTTAATCGTTTTTTGTATCTATTGTAATTTTTATAAAACTGTTAAGATGTAAAATAAAGAAATACATTTTTGTTACTGTATTGAACTAATGCCCGACGCCCATGCTTTGCATTTTTAATAACCTTTAACATGCGATAAGCCGGTTTTACGCAAATAAGGTTAAGGTTTCCTCTCATTCTAATTCGTGTACGCTTTTTTTATGAATACAACTGTACCTGTCATATCGACTTGAAGATACAATGTGACGGCAGGATTTTACCATAACCTATACGTATATCAACGGTCATGACGTTTCATATTTATTTTACATATACTTTCAAACATCTAGTAGCCTGGTGTCCAACTGACAGAGTCAAATGAGCTTTTAAATGCAAGCATGAAGCATACAAACAGGATGTATTATTTTTATCTATTTGCATTGCCTGCTATAGCTTTCAGTCGGTACGACATAAACTTCTGGCGGAAATCAGTTTGTCATACCATGTTTTTCCAAATGAGCCTAAAACTTCCATCAAACCTTGTAGGCTTCATTGGATTCGGTGATGACGGTGAAATTCTCTTGTCACGCTGTATCTTTAAGTCGGTATGACAGGTACTTCTGGCTGAGCTCTTCTTGATCATTTACTTAAAAACTACATATTATCACTAAATTTAGTCGAATCTGCGATGAAGGTATACTCAGTGCCACCAGCTCCCGGGTCATTTCTATTCGCAGGGTGCTACGGTTAAGACAACACAACACCTTCCTCGCGATGCGTATGCCGCTGCCTAATCCCTCCCCCAACCCCCAACTTCACGGATTCACCCCGCAGCACTGTGATGCGAGCGGTGCTCGGCGCTGCACTGGTGGCACCTGAGTTGGAGAGGCCTGGTTGGTCTAAATGATGTGTCCAATATTGTCATTTTTTGTTCATTTTGCATTCACACTTATTCTTGAAAATGTACCAAGCCCTTTGATCTGAGATATTCGGCATGACAGGGTTTGAACTAGAAGAAGTCTTACCTTTCTAGCGTCTGAAGCTGGCGAGACTCTGACACCGAAGGGGCTTTTTGGAATAGGTTTTCCGGCAAAAAATACGTTAATGGAATGTAAGCCTGTCGTGGGTGAAACATAGTCGCAACGGTATGTGTCTGGAGCAGTTTTGCGGATCTGGACTGGTACTGATGTTTTGTTACCCGCCGGATCAAGAATTATTACTTCTGGTACTCCCTGACCAGCATCTGAAAAAATAAGAAGATTGCTTATTCAGAAAACAAATAAATAAAAATGGATTTTCAAAAACGACCCTTTATTTGGCTGTTACTGTTAAAAAATAAAACTTTTTCCCAACTTGAAGTATGCCGTTATATATTTCTTAGTATTTAAACCATAACGAATCTCCTTTGTTCCATCCGGCTTCAAACAATGGCCGAGTTCTACCAAATGGCCCTTTATTGCGGCTGGTCGGAGTCTGAATCACCAAAGAATTGATCTGACACAAACACATCTGTCGTCTCGTCCTTTTGTCACATAAAGTCCTTAACCTGTGCGCCTTGTACAGCCGGCCTAGACTACTGCTCACATGTTTGGGGTGCTGCCGCCCCGACTAAATTCTTAGTGCTCCATGCAGTTAAGAGGAGGACTGTCTGACTGACTGATAACTCTTCGCTAACTTAGTCTCGGGACCCTTCCGCACATAATACAGGGTGTTCAAAAAATAGACTGAGATATTTCAGACGGTGATTCCTTGTTGGAAAATAGGAAAAAACACTTTCTATAAACAGGGTTTTCAAGATACAGGATGATACTTTTAATGATTTTTGCCTTTAGTATTAATATCTTAAAAAATATTTAATCGATTCTGTTTAAATTCAACAATATTATTTGTTGTATTAAGGGGCAAATTTAGCCCTAGACAGATTGAAATTATTGGGTCCAGTTGCGTCCCGGGGGGCACCCTAGCGCATATTATTGGGAAAAAAATGTACGTCACTGCATTTTTTGTAACTTTTATATTTGATATTTGATTAGGCAAATAAAAATACAACTTCTTTGTCTTTTGTGTTTTTATCGTACCCCCTTAACAAGGAATCATCCTTTAAAATATCTCCGTCTATTTGTCGGACACCCTGTATATGTTTCCTACCTAATAACCCTGCGCTTTAACTTTGTGTGTTAAATCACTGACTATAAGTACTTACTTCTTGTGTTTATGTCGAAATACGTAGGTTTGTTGATAAATACCCCATCGGGCTGCAAACCCGGTCCATTAACAGTAACCTTAGTGGCATCTCCAGCCTGTCCTTCAACTTTGACACTATAGGGACTCTTCGCTACGTCTCGTCCAGCAAACCTCGCGTGAATCCTATGAGTTCCTTCATGCCTCGGAGTATACGTTACTGTGTAAGTGAGATTCTTGTCGTTGTTAAATCTAACATCTACTGGCTCTATTTGACCCCTAGGACCCTCTATTATCACATCGACCTTGCCCTGTCCTGCAGCGAATGTCTCCACTGTGAAATTTGTTGGGATGCCTAGCATGTGGCCTGTTGGCTCAATCCCTGGGCCATAAACTCGAACTCTGGAATAGTAGAAATAACTTGTAAAAGAGTTATTAGGAACAGTGTCAAAAATATTTTATAATGCTCAATTTTAGCCTAAGTTATCCATTTTTTGAATCTACTGAATGATTAAAAAATGAGAATCCGATAGAAAATATATAGGGTGTTCCATTTGATTTTTTGCGAAAAGTACATTTTTATTCAGAAAATTCGAAAAATTGGAGAACTAGTATAAAACTGAGTGTTATTAAATATTTTAGACACAAAATTCAGCATACCAACTATCAAGAGAGCAAACTATCAAACTTTGATGTTTTTTAGATAAAATACCCAATAGCTCAGTAACTAATTATCAAAATCCAAAAGTATATTACATCACTATTCCTCTTTCAAAGGGTATATCCGAATATGTAATAAAAAATTTGAAAATTATCAAGTTTGATATGAGGGTCAGAGTTGGGACACCCTGTATAATTTTAGAAATATGCCTCAAGATACTGTTTATGATAATGCATAAATAGCTTTCTTTGAATAGTTTTTGTTTGGGAGCAATACCCATCCTCACACGGCTGGGACACCCTATATACAGGGTTATCCAAATTAAGTGTCCACCATTGGTAACTTTGTTATTAGTAAAAATACAAAGTTGTTTAAATTAGCAAACTAGTAGCATTTTTAACGCTGGTAAAAATGAGAAATAAAAAAAAACAATAGAGAGTCGTTATTTTGATTTTTTTCAGTAAAATAACATTTTTTTTAATGGAAACCCCTGTATATTATATTTTTTTCTGTTAAAGCATCAAATTTTAAACAAAAAAGTTCATAATGACTTTTCCGCTAAAGTCAAAAATAAAGTCAAAATAACGATAAATATTTTTAATTATTTGCAGTATTATAATATTAAGACGGCTATGAAAACAACATGGCGTTCGCGATTTGACAGCATTAAGATAAGCGACAAATTGTTAAACTGGACATACTCGCAACTAGAAGGCTTTGGAAAACAATGATAAAATCAAATAATGTCAAACATTAGTGTAAATACTTGTTTATAAGCTTTATTGTGTCATTAATTTAAAGAAAAATGTTCTCCCATGAAGAAAAGTGTGATATGTTAAAATGCTATTTAGTGTGCAGAAAATCCTCCTTGAGAGCAAGAGAATATACAGTGAATTATATCCCGCTCGCATTCAACCGTATGAACGATATTTTCTGAGACTTTATCGAAAATTTAGGGGCAACGAAAATGTTTTTGCTAAAACAAGGGCAAAAAAAGAATTCATAATAAGCGAGGCCACGGAAATTGCAGTTATTGGATATTTTGAAGCTTATTGTGAGAATTCAATAGCAGATATTCTCAAGGACTCTAATTTCAGTTATGGTACTGTTCAAAGGATTTTAAAAAAATACAAATTTATTCCGTATAAGTACCGACCAGTTCAAACGCTTTTGGCAGGGGATCCAGAGAGAAGACTTGTTTTTTGCCATTGGTATCTTAGCTTCTGTCGCCAAAATGTAAATAACTTTCGTTACCTTTTATGGACAGATGAATCAAATTTTTCAAATTCTGGAATGTTTAATAGAAAAAACCACCATTATTGGTCAAGAGAAAATCTTTCGTTAGTACATCCAAGAGGCCCACAAGTCCGTTTCAGTTTCAACGTTTGGTGCGGTATAATTGGTTCAAAAATTGTTGGCCCGTTCTTTTATGAGGGAACCCTAACTGGTGAAAGATATGTGGAATTTATGTCAGAAATTCTGACTAATTTCTTAGACGAATTGGATCTTATAAGTAGACATCATCTGCATTTTCAGCAAGATGGCGCACCTGCCCACAACTCCAGAGGTACTTATCATTTTCTAAGTACTACTTTTAATGATCAGTGGATAGGAACAAATGGCCCAATACAGTGGCCTCCCAGATCACCAGATCTAAACCCACTTGATTACTTCTTGTGGGGTTACTTAAAGAACCAAATTTACAAGCGAAGGTACGATAACCTTGACGCGTTAAAGACTGCAGTTAGGGAAAAGATAACCCAGATAGATGGTAGGACCATACTTAAGACAGTTCGAGCAGTTGAAAAACGTGCCCAAAAATGTATTGAAGAACAAGGTGGTGTTTTCGAGCATCTTCTTTAAAAAAATTGTTATTGTATTTTGTAAGATTATAAGTTGATGTTGAAAATAAAGTTTTTGAAGATAGTACTTTCATTCACACAGTGTATATTACTTTAAAAAGTGTTTAAGATACCAACTTATTGGGTTCCAAAGAAATGTGCGACAGCTCCAAATATTGCAAACTGAGCAACTAAGAACGAACGACAAACAGTACTTACAAAGAGTACTTATATAAAGAGAAGACAGAAAGCGAATAAGATTATAGAGAAATAAGAGATAACTCCAAAAACCTGGCGTCCACGAAACAGCTGATAGCGTCTAAACACGGCTGTTTTGTTGCCAGATAGATAATCCTTTTTGGATGAATTCATTTAGCATGACTTGTAGTGAACGTGTTTTTGGTCCAATTTTACTTTTGTTTGGACATTTATTATCCATTTGAAACCTACAAAATATATTCGTCATTTAAGACCCCAAGCGAAATACTACACGACTTTATTTATTTCGCATGACTTTCTAACGTAACCAATAAAAACTGCAAAAAGAGCTGAACTCCATTCTTCCTAGAATAAATATAGCGTTTTATAAATATTTTATGGTAGCTTGGCAACGCCGCCTCGATAGCCAAGAACAGTCGGCAAATAATATATATCGCTGTTTTTATTTGTAAACCAGTAATAATCCAGGAGCCGACCGCAAAGTTTTGGTTACATCGCGTACTGATATTGAATTTTAAAAACTAGGCAAGCCTTACGAATTTTCATGCTAAACAACGAGCGCGCCAAGTTTGCTAGTTCGCATTAAAACACGATGATGTGACAACAAATTTACGATCGACATTCCTATCATCAAGCAGATGACTCCAAAGGTCAATGGGGCAGACCGGCGGATTATAAAGGCATTCCACGAAGTATCTTCTCTTGATATAACTAATCTTTAGTACTTATATGAAACATGTAACAACAACTTACTTATTTATATTGCTCTTAGGTCTAAGTGGAGCGCCAGGTTTGATTTTGGCGTTTGGATATTGCGATAGATAAGTCATCATTGATTGTTCGTCAACGTTTGGGTCTACGATTTCTTCTGGTTTAATCAGTTGAGGAATATTTAACCAATTGTCAGCCAAATCCATGGCTTCAGTCGCATTCTGTAAACAGTCTTTGGAGTCCCAGTCCTGGAAAAAAAATAATAAATATATTAAGGCGCCCCAAAGACAAAAATGGTGTCAGGATTGTGTTCCACAAAAGTTAGACCCTATAGGTAATGCCTAACAAAAATACTAATGTCAGCCAAATGCGTCTATACAATTAGCCCATAGTCCCCACCTATTTGACAACGCTAGGAATTTCTTTCCTGCCCTAGCTAAACTACCGACCATCTGGCAACGATGCTGAACCCGATGCCACTACCGCCACCCATGATACTATCACTCGAGATCGAGAGCCCTAGCGATGCAGTCAGGCGCATGCAGGGCTTGTTGCGTGAACCACCGGGGTCGATATCTGACGCGTCTGTAGTATCAAGCGCAAATGTACCATGAAATCTATGATGCATGAAATATGTACTAAAAGGTGCGCAGAAATACCGGGGCTGAAAGCATATATGCATTCTAAAGCCAGGATGTCGAAATTTACTCTGCATTACCGCCTACCACCCCCACTCCCAATTTTTAACCCCTACAAAAATTAAGTTCCTTCAGGCGGCTCAAAAGAGCCTAGGTAGTGTGATCTTGGCTGTTTTACCAATGTAAAGTCCACAAAAAGTCTCACACATCGATTTCAGGCAACCTCATGGAAGAGAACCTTGAATAAGGAACAAGCGCTTCGAATATTTTGCGTGAAATCTAGTGTACAGAAATAGAAGCTTTTACTATCTGGAATTTACTACAATGCGTTAATTGGTCATCTTGAATTACAAAAGATTAGCTAGCGTTAAATTCCAACACAAGGATCTGAATAATGTAAATCCTTTATATATAAGCAAGTCATTAAAAGAATACTAAGTAAACAATAAACATACTAAATGCATGCGCAATTTCAAATCGTATCAGACCGTGACATTTGGCAGAGATCTACTTCAGTTCAATAGCATCTCAGTGGGTCTTTATCAACCACCTTTTAGCTTTTGTTGTCAGACAAAAGGTTAACGTAAGCTGTTCGCCAGAGAATGCAGATATCTCTGGAATGTATAGCCCGGGGTATGCCAATAGGTACTTTTGAATTTTGTTTTTCAATGAACTCAACAATTTTGAAAATTTTGCATATACCCCCCTAAGATGACCATTGTTCGACTAAAATATTTAGTAAACATGTGAAACAATAGGGTTCTTGAAAACGAAATATATCGATTTCAATTTTTAAATACGCAATATGGATATACAGGGTGGCGCGTTATAGGTCAAGAACCCGAGGCGTCAGCAAGACGACACCGCCAGTCGCAACGACAGCAGAAACCTTTATTAAAACTATTTTTCTTTTATATTTTAATTCATTATCATTCCAACTGGTAACACGTTCATGTCTACAAAATAAATATTTTTTAAAAAACTCCTTGTTGTGGCTGAGAAACATAATTGGCGCATCGAAAACGAAACAGACTCATTTACTGGCAACTCAGTTTTTTTTTGAAAAACGCTCAGACCCGTCGATTTTGTTTTCGAGGGGGACACAAGTTTGGCAAAAAATCACGTTAGCACGTGCAGCCCCCTTAGCGGGGGTGACACCACCCCCAAAATCTTAAATGGAAAGGGGGGTCGAGTGATACCTTATTTTAAAGGTCTTTCAATTCCCTTTATAATGATATAATGTACTTCAGTTCAGTAGTTTTGAAGATTTATTGATTTAAAGCTTAAATAAAACTAATACATCATCATTAGTGGAGACCAATACATTTGGCAGCAAAGTAATTTAAAAATGAAGAAAGAACTGACTCGTTAGGCAAGTAAATGTTGAAAATGGCCACCATGACTCTCCATGCAATAATAAAGATTTTGCTCAAAACGTTGCCGCACATGTGGCAATATTTGAGGAGTAATTTGAAGGAACTCATTCACAATTCTTTGTCGCAGGTCTTCTTATGATGTTGGCTGAGTAGCATAGATTTTGCTTTTTAAATGACTCCACATAAAGAAATCCAAAAGTGATAAATTTGGCGATCTTGGGGGCTATTCAATGGCACCTCTTCTACCAGTCAATCAATCTGGAAACGTCTGATCTAAATGTTGTCGAACACGTAATGCGTAATGTGGTGGGGCACCATCCTGTTGGAACATCAACCTATTCGCAATGTACCGCCGATCATTCTGATTTTCAATTATGGCTGTTAATGCAGGATCTATGGCGTCTTCCAGTAATTCCAAATACATTTCACCGGTCAAATTTCCAGGTAAGAACAAAGAACCAACTAAATGATCGCCAAAAATACCAAATACCCAATACCCAATACCCAAACATTTAATTTTTATGGCTGCTGTGTATGAACCTCATGATAAATTCTGGGATTAGAATCGGACCAATATCCGCAGTTATGACGATTTACTACGCCATTTAAGAAAAAGGAAAATTCGTCGGAAAAGCAAGTGTTGAATAGAAAATGTTCATCGTTTATAATTCGTTCACTCATATCTTCACAAAATTGTAATCGCCGATCAAAATCGTCTTCATTAAGTTCTTGTACCAGGTCAATTTTATACGGATGAAAACTATGGGCCTTTAAAATCCGTTGGACAGTACGTCGACTAACACCACACAGTCTCCAATTTGCGGGTATTTAACGTAGGATCTACATAAACTTGCCCTAAAACCCCCACTTCTATTGATGTTTTACTCGCGCACTGATTATTTCCGAAAAATATTTCGATAATTTCATCTCTTTCTGCTGTGGAATATACCATGGTTAATTTATGTAATAAAGTATTACAAGTTATTTTAGCAACAAAGTTTGGTTAAATCAATCGCAATCTATGTACTAAATTCCTATTTAAAATAAGTACGAGATATTTCCTCATCTTTCTTCAAGAAATAACTTTTTTGTCACAAAAAAACGCTCCTATAGCTATTTTCAACAACAAAATGATAAACTAACCATGGGCGTAGTGAAGAAAAGCATCTACTTATTAAGTAAATTTTTTAGTCAAATTTCTTCTGAAAGTAGTACAAACTAATCTGATGTACCTATTAAAGTCTACTTTAAGCTTTAAATCAATAAATCTTCAAAACTACTGAACTGAAGCTCATGTATTTTACATCATTATAAAGGGAATTGAAATACCTTTAAAATAAGGTATCACTCGATCCCCCTTTCCATTTAAGATTTAAGGGTTGGTGTCACCCCCGCCCAGGAGGCTGCATGTGTTAACGTGATTTTTTTCCAAATTTGTGTCCCCCTCGAAAGCAAAATCGACGGGTCTGAGCGTTTTTCAAAAAAAACTGAAGTAAATGCCAGTAAATGCGTCTGTTTCGTTTTCGACGCGCCACCCTGTATATTTAGGTCCAGTTAATTTAATTATAATAATTTTTAATGCAAAATCGTCCATGATGTGACGTCATACAAACTGTAAGCAAAGCAACGTCATCCGTATGTCACTCGCGGACTAAAGTTGAAATATTTCTAAAAACTCAAACGTAAAAAGTTATCGTTTTCTCGTTTTAGTAAAAAAAACAATCATAGACGTTGGGTTTGTTGAAGTGATTTTACATACAATAGCGATAATTACTATATTTTTCATATAAGCTAGTAGAAGTCATGTTTACAAGTTTGAGAGGTTATGCTGCTGTCAGCTGCTGTTTACAAATAGTATGACGTCAGAACACATTAATATGGGCCAGACATGGCGGACAGCGCTTTCGCCTATCGGGGTGATACTGCAAACTTCACCATTGCGATTCCAACGTTTTTGTTGCTGTATGACACGTGCCCTATCTTGTTAAGGTACATATCATGCAATTGAGATCCCAGAAAGTTTCTATTATCGACGCTCGCTCCGAACAAAAAAGATGAGGCTGAGCTTTCCGAGTGTTATTGCAAAAAAAATGGCACCACATTTCCTGTTGTCCCTATGCATGACAGATACTTGAAGCGCAGGGGGGTACTATACAGAATGATTCATAATTTGTAAAGGGAAATAAGTAATCTTACATTGGCTAGAAAGCAACGGTATTTACCTGCCAGTCAGGGCATAGACCAGGTGCTACTGCATCTACTAAAGCTCCTACGGCTTTGCCATCGTTCCAGTCAGTCGTGAAGTTCCTTATTGGCAAATCTGGAAGCTTAGTCTGGATCCAGTTCATGAGCCTAGAAGAAAAATCAATTTCCGGCTCATTTGCTTAGGGTATATCAAAGAAAAATGGGAAGTGCCTAAATTCCTCTTCAAGCAATGTTTATTGAAAAGGTCTTTGAAGCCGTTTGTTGCTCCACAACATAATCAAACCTAGATTTTGTGAGGTTCTATGGTGGTCATCTATGAGGCTGTTCCAAAGACTCATATTTAATAATTATCCAAAATCGCCAAAATTGATATATTCAAAAAGTAAGAACTGCAAAACTTCTAGACAACCACCACGCTGTTTGACGAGTGAAAAGAAGCAAGCCAACTTGTGTAGTGACTGTAGTGTTACGTCAAAGCAAGAGAACCTACCCGAGTTATCTGTGATAGTACATATTTTAATTTTAAGAATACCCGTAAGTATGTTAAGTTCCTTATTATGTTGGAGGCCAGCACATGTTTTGAGGCGTTGCAATTTCAATAGTCACAGCAAGAAACAATATATTATACGACATTACCACTGGTTAACGTTATCTACCTGAAGATAGCCAACTAAATTTTATATTCCTGCGTTCAAAAAATTATCCGAGATGAAATTCGTAGCGTCATACCTAGACGTAACAAATCCTGGTTATTTCAAATGGAACACCCTGTATATTATTACATTTTTTTATTTTATGGTTCATTTTCGGAAAATTCTGTTGAGTACATGTATGATCTTAAATTAAGTGAATTTTAGTTATTCGCTTATTTTTTTAATTTTCCTCGTGCGCAGCACTTTGTAAAATCAATATATCTCCGAAAATGTGCAATATATGCTATTCTCGTTTTGACGGCTCCTTTTAGCTTGAACATCACTATTCGAAGCATTATACAAAAGTTGCTTTTTTCCACAGCGTATCACTCTCAGCTGTCAACTTGACAGGTATTTGAGTGCGTATATCATATTTTTTAAATAGCATACCCTGTTTTCTTAAATACAGTTCGATGCAAAATATGGTTTCATTTCGATTGATATAGCATTTCCAGAGAGAATATCGCTTTTTTATTTTTTCATTGAACCAGTGTCTCATAGATTTAGCGTTGTAGTCATTTATATGAGTATATACGAGCATGTAAGCACCGCTATCTATGACGCACTAAACTTTTCAAATTATTATATATATATATATATATATATATATATATATATAACAAAAAGTAGGAAAATAATGGGCAAAATCCGGAAAAACGAAGAAAGCGGATTCGAGCAGAAAATAGGATAGGTTACCCGAGCGATACGTATTTCTGCTGGTTGGCTTCATCAGGCGCGAAATGAATGCACATATGAAACTACAAAAGTAGACACACATGCCCATACATCCGGATACGGATGTAACCTGAGGAAACGAAGATGGAGGGCGAAAAAACGACACACGAAGTCCATAACAAGAGCCAACCTACACATTGTAGTATAAAATGGCTAGAAGACCTCAACGTATCGTTGGGTTACCTATCCTATTTTCTGCTCGAACCCACTTTCCTCCTTTTTGCGGATTTTGCCCATTATTTTCCTAATTTTTGTTATATACCTTTCACCGCATGATCATTTTCTCTTTATATATACATATATATATACATAGTAAATAGAAACAGATTCTCATAGATGACGCTACGGCATCTCTCTTTATTACCGATGATTCTCTGGTTCTTCAAGTAGAATGCGTTAATCAATAGCATTATACATCGTTATTGTAGAATCGGAGATTACTACAAGTTATTACAATTAATTCTTTTTTAGACCTTGATTTGAATAAACATTAACAATGTGTTAAGAGTCAGAGAAAAAACACAGATAAAACATTTTTTCTATGATACTGAAGCAGTCGTGGAGGAAGAGTCTAAATACCGGGGCACCGTGACTGATGTTGAATGAGTATACATTACTGATGTGATTTTTGAACAGCCATTGGTTAATGCAATTGGAAAAAAATGTTTTCTGGCAGACTGAACAGCAACCTAGGGACCCTTCAGGTGCAGGCAGTAAAGGGGTCGGAGGGCGGGCTTCGTTCAGCAATATTCATTTTTAATCTTTTTCGGATATGCTACAGAATTTTGACGATTTTGGTTTGAACACATATGGAAACCTTGCCTTTTTATGCTCGAAAGCGAAACACATCTTCAAGGATTCCCCAAATATGAATATACTTGCAAGCTTAAAGCCTAAGATACAAATGGACCTGGTAGAAATGCGTATAACCGACAAGACAACAGAAAGGGTCACTTTATGGTCGCGAACTGGCTGGTTTGCTGATGCCTCATGACCATTTAGGGTCTCATTTGGATAAACATGGTGTTAGAATGAATGAACATTTAGAAACATCAAATTTGTTATTGAGTTGTTCCATCGAAAATTGATCATGTTGCTGCAAAGTATGTTAAGTCGGGTGCGCTAGATCTCCCTCATTTTCCAGACATTAAATGGATGCTTACGTAAGCAGAGGAGAGGGGTACGGGATTAGCTTACTTTTGCTGACAAGGGTGAGGGAGGTTGAGAATTGTAAAAAATCTGCTTACGTAGCACTACAATGGCCCCCTAGACACCCAAGGATAAAGGCAGCGATAGCAATTTAAATGGGAACACTCACCTTTGCTTTGGTGTGGGTTCTGTACCCCCATTGTTCATATCGTCCTCTCCTTCCCACATGGGCAGGGAGATGGAATAGTGTAAGATAAGTGTCCATATTAATCCTAATATCAGTTTCAACTTACAATCTACTATATGACTGGAATCTGGAACAAAAAAAAATATATCCTACTGGACGTTCCAAAATATATGGGCCACTTCTCAAAGTCATGACGAATACAACAAAATAATGTGCCAAGTTCATATAAAGTGTCCTACCAAGGTGCAGGCCTCTGAACCACGTTATAGGATACTATTTTTTTTTTCTAATAACTTCTTGACGATGCTATACATATTTCAACTACTTTTTGACAGCGCAGTGACGAATAACTGCTTTGGTGAAGTCCGTGGAATATAATTATTTTGTTTATTTCATCAGTGACGGATTGGATCTGATAAAATGTCCTCAATTTTATGAATAATGGCTCAAAGATAAAAGAACAAACCCTAAAAGAACCGAAGCACAGATCAACAAACAAATGGCATAAAACAAGATGAAAGTCATAATCAAACAAACCAATAGCTATGAACATGTTTTTAATTTGTCCGGAAAAAAATCATCAACGGTATAATACGGGTGAGAACCTAAAAAATCTTGGGGACGTCTCCTGAAAAGTTGTATAGTCATGCCATCTCTAACTGAAGTTGGTAGGAGTATTATAACTGACATTTAGCCTTGCTAAACGGATATGCAGATTATTGTTATGCCTTGTATTCCTAAGATGAATATCATGGTTATTTTTGAATTTTATTGTTTTTATAGTGATTGTCACAATCAAAAGTACGCGATAAGTCACAGATAATGGAAATAGAGGAATTACCGTCATTTAGGTTCTCAATAATGTCACTGAATCCAGATGTAGAAGCCCTAACTGACAACTTGGCTACAAGGGCAAACCGGAAAATAGTCTTCATTTAATTCACAATTATTGCTCTTTGCTAAGCCGATTTTACCTAGTTTTCCAGTACGTTTTATTAATAAAAATTAGCATCGGCTACCTAAGAAGCTATTTAACCAATTCAAGCTATTGCCACGTATACCCATCATGTAAGTTTGTCATTCAACATTTTGTGATTGTCAGAATCAAAAGTAAGCGGTAAGTTACAGAGAATGAAAATAGGGAAACTACCGTCATTTAGATTCTCAATAATATAACTGTAATACTCCAACAAGGCAGATATTGTTGCTTGATATCGACAAAAGGATCCGTTTTGAGAAATATATTTGCATGTTACATGCCTATAAGGGTGGTCCCAGAAGTACCCGACCCAACGAAGAAAACACAAAAATTTTGTAAAAAAATGTATTTATTTTTCAACATAATCCCCTTTGAGCTCTATACATTTTTCCCAGCGATGTTTAATAAGTGCGATACCCTTTTTATAATAAGAACTGTCTTGCTCCTCAAAATAGCCATTAACTGCCGACATCACTTCTTCGTCGTTGGAAAATCTTTGACCCCTGAGTCATTTTTTCAACTTTGGAAACAGAAAATAATCCGACGGGGCTAAATCTGGTAAATAGAGTGCATGAGGTAGCAATTCAAACTTTAATTCGTTAATTTTGGCCATTGCAATTACGGATTTGTGAGCTGGTGCATTGTCTTGATGAAACAACACCTTCTTCTTTACCAAATGCGGCCGTTTTTGCTTGATTTCATCGCTCAAACGTTGCAATAAGTTCGCATCATACTCGCCGTTGATAGTTTTACGTTTTTCAAGATAGTCAATGAAAATTATCCCATGCGCATCCCAAACAACCGGCGCCATAACCTTGCCTGCAGATGAAACGGTCTTCGCCTTCTTTGGAGCCGGTTGTCCCTTTTGAGTCCATTGTTTTGATTGTTCTTTTGTCTCGGGTGTGAAGTGATGGACCCGTGTTTCATCCATGGTTATGAAACGACGCAAAAATTCTGCTTTGTTGGTCTGAAACTTCGCTAAACACTCAATTGAAACATCTTCACGATTGTAATCGCGGCACCCATCTTGCAAACAGCTTTCTCATGTCCAAATTTTCAGATAATATGCGATGAACCGCACTTTTTGAAATGCCTACTATGTCTGCTAGCTGGCGCACTTTCAGTCGACGATCATTCAGTACCGCTTTGTGAATTTTCTTCACCATTTCTGGAGTCGTCACCTCATTTGGTCGACCACTGCGATACTCGTCTTGGCGGCCTCGTTTAAACTCTGCTACCTAATATCTTACTGTTGTAAGCGAAGAAGCAGACTCACAAAGATTAGAATCCAGTTCAGCTTTTATATTGGTTGGGCTGAGGCCTTTGAAGTAAAAGTATTGTACCACATAACGATGACAAATTTTCTACATTTTCACAAATTCACTGAAAACGTTCAGTCTTGATGGCTGCCAAACAAATACTAAACAACGTGACGTCTTCAAACTTGACACATATGCTTTATAGATTGCATACTTTCTAATACAATGATATTTTTCAAGCAACTATCGCCATCTCTAGGTCAGGCCGGGTACTTCTGGGACCAACCTTGGTATCGAACTGAACGCATTCAGAAAGTCTGTACGGCGAATCCATTTGTTTCTTTCGGTCTACTTCTTACAGCCCCAGTTACCAAAAAATTAGCCAAGATGCAACGTACGTTTACAGACTGTCTGGTTATCAGACACGTGAAGGCCAACCTTGATTCATATCTTGAATAGAATCATTGATTTCAAATTCAATTTGGTCGAATCGTGACCAATGCACCTTAAAGTGCACAGATATGAGTCTGAGGAGTCACTTTTAAACAATTCCAGTGTGAATTATATTATAATGACACATATGCGGTTTTAGATAAATCGTGCCAAACAATTTTTTTCTATTTTATTTATATCGCTATGACATTTTTTTCAACGGTAACCTGGCCCAGGGGCGTATTTTTAGATTCAGCGCTCTGGTCCTCTTAAGGTGCGCCGCAACCTGAAGGAACGGAAAAAAGCAAAAACTTTTGTGTCGTGAAGTTTCAAAATTAATTTATTGAACCAAAAATACACAATATATAGGCGGATTTCACGTTTTCAAAATTATATTGTTGAGGTGCCTTCCAGTTCGGTCGAAACATGCGGTTAAGAACTGCTAACCATAATTCAGGTGTAATTGCTCTAATTTCTACCTGTCTTTTTAGTTTTAATTCTTGCAAAGTCCTAGGCCGATTAACATAAACTTTACTTTCAAGATATCCCCACAAAAAAGTCCAAAAAAATGAATTTTTGTGATGAACAAAATTACTAATGTTGCTTATCAATCATCTCTTTATACAGCAAGGTATCAGACGAAAATATTTAAAAATACTCCTTCGAACAGGCTGTTGAATAAGAGGGGCCTACCACCTTAAGGCTTACAATGTTTCTCTAACCCTCTTCACCCACGGTTTCACTAAATTTTTACTACACAAGTCTAATATTTAAGTGAGCACAAAACCTTAGTCTTGCAATTGTTCTTGAAATATGCCTCAATAATGAACGAACTATGCGCACCAGCAAAACCTTCATTGGGATAGCACTACATAATGATTATTTCATTTTGTGAGTACAGTAACTTTTTATCATTATTCTGGGTCCGGTACTGTTGAATACATTCATCTATTCAGACATTTAAATAAGTTCAATGATTATGCTTTATCTCACAGCTTCCATGAAAGGTGATTATTTTCAACTGTATTTTATAGTCCCAGTATGGATATCGTAATTTCTAAAAATAAACACTTATTCCGTTTGTTATGATGGTTACCTACATGGAGTAAATAAAGCACAATGAAGCCTAAGTATATTCTTTAAGATAAGCATTTTCAGTAGGTTTTTTGCTCTAAAATTTTACAAAGCACTAGATTGTCATTGTCACTTATTAGTGTCTCCACCAGCAGCAATACCGTCGTTGTCTGAGTGGAAGGTCACCGATATTTTGAGGGTAATACCACAGGCGACTGACAAAAACGGCATCTAAAGAATAGGCCTTGAAGAAAAATAAATATAGACAGCTGTTGCTCAGAAGTCAGCGAGAAGTAGTGTTGCGCGTGGAATGCGATTACAGAACGGTGTCGACCTGCTGGTGGAGGCTGGTATCCCGCCAACTGATTTGCTGGCTCAGGAGATGCGCGCTCTATGAAAAGGGGCCTTGAAGATAAAAGTCCCGAAAAAAAAGGCGGTTTTTGTCAGATGGCACAGGATAGAAGGGATTTAAGTGACCATGATGTATGGATTAGAGGGGTGGATAAATTACTCTGCACAGTTCCTGGTATGACTTGGTTGTTTTGTCAGCTTCCTGAAGAGGGTAGACAAGACAGAGCACGCGAACTGCGTATATTGCAACGAAGATGATACTCCCAATCATCTACTCGAATGTGGTAGATGAGTTCACTACTAGAGACAACTAGAATGGACGCTCGCCGACAGGGTCACTGCTGACAATTTTGCCAGGCATGTAAGTGAGGCAAATGGGTTGACATTCAACCAATACTGAGGTGGATGATGCCGAGAAAGGTGCAGAATGATAAAAACAGATCGTGTAACCAATAATAAGTTTCTGCTTGCTGGTTTGTATATGCCCATAGGTGCTCATGTATATGTAAGGTGAGAATGAAATGGCTTGATAAATCTGGCTACCCACCATGACGAAATGCTGCTAGTATTATCGCGATGCATAGTGTACGACTGAGAGGTTTTTATGAGTATGCCCCTTATCGGGTATCTCACACTTCGGACAGGGCAATACTGTAGAGCTTTTCTGCCTGAGAGAGGCTATAAAGGCTTTCTGCTGTAAAAAAATACATATCACCGACACACAGACTGAATAGAGTGTGTTTGTTTCTGTGACCTTGGCCAACGGCATACAAAGTTGTTTGATGGTTTTTAAAAATCATCAGTACGTTGTGGGTCTAGTCTTGGAGGCAAACAACGGATAACTCAGTATGTAGAGAGCGAATAGGTGACACTGCCACCTGATTGTATAAGCTAAAATTAAGAAAACTAGTTTATGCAACATTCGCATAGTACGCCGATGTAGATATAGTTCTTTTCACGGTTTTTGGTGATTACGTCACCAATGCGTTACGAAACAAGTGAGTACAAAGGAATTGATTAATATTGCTTACA